CTCTCCTTTGACAGCTTTTCCCTTCAGCATCCCTCCCTGCCAAGGGGACCTTTCCCAGTTACCCTGTTTCCCTCCTGCTCCTTGCAGGTGGCGGCTGCTTGGGGAGCCATTTCAAGGTTTCCTTCTCTGTGTGCACTTATCCTTCAGTTTCCTGTTTCTTTTCCCCCTCAGCTTTTGCTGTTAAAAAATTCACTTAAGCCTAGCTGGTGTGGCTCGGGGGATTGAGCGCCCTCCCGTGCACCAAGGGGCCGCCCGATGGATTTCCCGCCAGGGCCCAGGCCCAGGCCCAGGCTGCAGGCTCCATCCCCAGTCGGGGGCACGCAGGAGGCAGCTGATCGATATTTCTCTCTCATCGCTGTTTCTATCTCTCCCCTCTACCTTCCTCTCTCTCTCAAATCAATAAAAACATGTTAAAAATAAATAAAAATTAAAAACCACTTACCGATTTAAAAGAATTCACTTAAATATTGCTGTTTTTATAGAGGAATGTGACAATTCTGAAAGTGTGTTGGGCCGTTGACGGTACTGGAAAATTTTAAACTGAGACCTGGTGGGTAGCACGTTGAGTGGGAGTTGAATGGGAAGGGAATGCCCCCTCCCGAGCTCCCCTACGAGGTCAGGAAGAAACGTGCCAGTCAGCAGTTTTCCCTTTGGGTTTTCTTCTTTGAAACTGTCCCTTTGTCAAAAATCCTCCATCACTCCATTACACTTCAGTTTGCTCAAGCTTGATTGTTACTCAAAAGTCAGAATAAAACTAATGACAGCTTGGATTGCTCCCTTCTCATTTTCGTTTGCCTTGCTCGTCTCCCCTCCCCCACCCTTTTCTTGCATTCGTCTCCTGTTTGTCCTAAAAGAATGGCACCCACTTCCTCCTCCTCACATTGACAACTACACAATATATTTGGCTCTACGGCTCCACTGACATTCAACAAATACTCATTTACCAGTTATTAAGCTCAGCCTTGGGCCTGGCACTAGGTATTCACAAATGTATTGGACACAGTCCCTGTCTTTAGGAATCTTATATTAGAGTGGGGGATGGAGATAAGTGAATGGAAAATTACAGTACAGTGTGGCAAGTGGCTGTTGTGCATAAAGAAGGGTGCTCAGCGTGGTCTTGAACGAATCCTGTGGGAGGAAGTCTAACCTGCACCCTGACCATTGAGTGGATGGGGGACGGGGTGGGTGGCTGCTATGTTTCAGGTGACACAGAGGTGGCGTATGCTGGAAGGCACTGAGGAGATTTAGTAGAGTTAAAACAGAGTGATGGGGAGGAATGGCACAAAATCAGATTAGAGACATAACGAGTAAGAAACTATTTTTTTAACCCTGATACGGGTTTTTATACCTTGTTGAGGGTAATGGCCTTTCCCCCCCCTCCGAATGNCGAGTAAAAAACTATTTTTTTAACCCTGATACGGGTGGGTTTTTATACCTTGTTGAGGGTAATGGCCTTTCCCCCCCCTCCGAATGTAGAGGGGAATCATGTGAAGGTTTTAATCTTATGACGGGTGTCTTGTGATCACAGTTCCATACTTGGCTACAGCATGGAGAATGGTTTGCATTCAGTCAACAGTATTGACCAGGCACTTACAAAGTACCAGATACAGTCGTGAACAAGGCAGACACTGACACTGCCCTTCATGGGCGGCAATATTGGCAGCAGGAAGTCCAGTTAGGAGGCTGTCTGTAGCCCATGGGAATTTTGGTGGCCTGAACTGCAGGATTGCCATAGGGATGGGAATCAGTGTATTCATTTAGGAGATTCTGAGGAAGTAGTAGGAAGAGAAGGTGGTGACTGACTGGTCAGGGATGGGGTTGGTGTGAGAAGGAGAAGGCTGGGGTCTTCAGAGACTTCCAAGGGTTCACCTTCCTTCTGCTTCCTTTTTCAGTTTCACAGCCTGATGACGTAGTGGGTGTTTCCATTTCCATCTGTCTAGTTATCCGTTTGACCAGCTGTCAGTTTTGTCATCCCATTTGGTGGGTGTACAGTGGGATGGAAAATACAACGGGTCACTGACCTTGGAGCAGAGACCATTTGCTATGGGAAAGCTATTATCAGGAATTATGCTAAGCAGCTCTCCTTGTCAGATGAGTTTTGCTAAACGGCTCTTTCTTTTCGATGCTATGCAGTACAGTCAAGTTGCAGGGATTGGATGTAGAAGGGGAGGCAAGATGTTTGAAAAAAAGTGGGAGAAAGTAGTCTCATAACAAAGTTAGTAGTAAGAAAGCTGAGGGGAAACAAAAGCAGCAGAATGGAAGATTTAAAATAGTCATTTGTCCTCTGAGGAGGGAACACTAAACCAGATTATTTCTCTAAGAGGCTTCCTGAGGACACTAGTAACCTGTGTTACTCTGTTGAGAGAGGTTTCTGGAAAATGCCACCCACTCAGCTATGCCTCCCGTTAAAAAAATTCTGGTTGAATTTGTTGAACACAGAATTTTTTAAAAAAATGTTTTTTATTGATTTTTAGAGAGAGGGAGAGGAAGGGAGAGGGGGAGACACAGAGAGAAACGTCAATATGAGGATGAACCCCATGTTTAGCTGCCTCCTGCACACCCCAGACTGGGACTTGAGCTGGCAACCTGGGCCTGAGCCCTGACCGGGAATCGAACCGGCAACCTTTGGTGCACAGGGCCACGTCCAACCAACTGAGCACACTGGCCAGGGCTGTTGAGCCCAGAATTTTACAAATACATTTGCCCCTATGTTTTCTACTAACGCTGCATTAACATTCCGTGGAACTGGCGTCTCACAAGATACCTCGGAGAATGCTGGTCTAAGTCATGATCGTAGTGAGGGCTAGCATGTATGGAGCATTCGTTACCCGTTACCGTCTGTGCATAGTGTTAAACTCCTCGCATGGATTATCGTGTGGNGCATTCCGTGGAACTGGCGTCTCACAAGATACCTAGGAGAATGCTGGTCTAAGTCAGTCATGATCGTAGTGAGGGCTAGCATGTATGGAGCATTCGTTACCGTCTGTGCATAGTGTTAAACTCCTCACATGGATTATCGTGTGGTCTTCATACCCGCAACACTGTGAGGTAATTATTATCCTCATTTTAGGGACAGCAAAAATACTCTAAGTTATAAGTAATTTGTCCAAAGTCATACAGTCACTAGGCAGGGAGGCAGATTTAAAACCAAACAGTCTAAAAGGTCAGGGACATATCCCTTTGTACATTATCTTGACATGTCACAAGAGCAAGGTCCACAGAGGACTTCTAGCTGTTGATGCCGCTGAAACTCCTTCATTTGCCACGTAAATGGGACTGTCCGCTCATGCACTCAAGGACCAAACATGACATCCAAGTGGCTGAACATTCTCTTCTCAAAGTCATTGATCCCTTGTANTCAGTGGCTGAACATTCTCTTCTCAGTCATTGATCCCTTGTACATGCCAACCAGTGGGTCAGACATTTCACATGNCAAGTGGCTGAACATTCTCTTCTCAAAGTCATTGATCCCTTGTACATGCCAACCAGTGGGTCAGACATTTCACATGCATTATTGCATATTACAGAAGAAGAAACCGAAGCGGGAGATCCAGACACCCACACAAGGTCACACATGTAGAAGCCGGTAGAGCCTGGACTCCAATCCAGCCAGTCGGATTCAAGAGTGAGTCCATGTTCTTAACCATACAACGTTGCTTTCTCAGCATCCGAATGAGTGTGCAGTGCTTCCCCAGGCTAAGGAATGTTAACATATATCTATATTAAATATGCATCACATATTCATTTATTTTTTCATACATTTATCAATATGAAAGACTCCTTTTCAAAATTGTGTGGCCATCATTGCTACCACTGAGTCCTATTTTTGGAGCTGGAATAATTGGAAACAAAGGTGTGAGGAAAAAGCTAACTTGGAGAATTCAGGAGGAATCAGGCTGGTCAGGAAGTGACCTCATGACCTTGCTTATGGTAGAACCAAGGCAAGAAGTGTAGGTCAAGCAAGAATGAATCTGGGAAGGCACTGAGTAACGGACAAATATTTTATCTCCCTCAAAAATAAATGCAGAATGATTGTATTTTATATCAGTTTTGCTTACCTCTTAGCAATGTAGTAATGTAAGGATTTTAATACTTGACAATTCTGGGTTTGAATTTTATTTTATTATTAAACTGTACCTCAGGCAGATTTTCAAATTTCATCATCTATGAAATGGGGATGGATATACCAACATCCCAAATTTGTCCTGAAGGGCAATTGAAATAATGTTCTATAAGGTGCTAGAGAAAGTAGGTACTGAACTTTTATTGTAAGTAGCTATTATTTTATTATGACATTTCTTTGCTTTCCTGAGTTTTGTGGGCTCAACTTGAAAATGTTAAGTTGGTATTTTTTCTATCTGCTTTTCCACTTTTCTCCTACTTTCTGATAAGTACAGCACAGTGGAGACCAACAATATTCTAACATCTGGATATCTCTAGCAGTAGTGATGTACAATAAGAAAGCTGTTGTACCAGGCAACTTTTTATGTTTTAAAGCACATTAGGAATAATAGATTTGAAGTGATTTTATTCTGTTCAGGAATTCATCTAGTTCATTTTATCTAAACTGCTTACCCTGACCGTTTGACTTGGCATTGAAGACGGAATCTTTAGGGAAAAAAAGTAAAATAAGTCACTATTTAAAGATTATTCAAACAGCTGTGCCTTGGATTTTGTGAATACAGTACATTTATATTTATATGTATGGAGAGGAAAATAGTACTATTTCCCAATTGATTGAGGCTATTGTTAAGTGATTGAAGACTGACTGAGGCAGAACCTCTCATCTCTTGCATCATATGAAGATGTTTTGTTTGGAAAACTTTTATTTTTTCTCTTCATAGTTTATATACAGCGGACAGCGTTTTAAATATAAGAAATGCAATTTTCAGGAGTTAAATATGTTGATGTGTCATGAAAAGCTTTAAATGTAGCAGAATTATAATGAAAATGCAATGTTTCATATACTTAGGATTTTTATTATTATTTTTTATTCACAGGATGAGTAAGAGATACTTACAGAAAGCAACAAAAGGAAAACTGCTGATAATAATATTTATCGTAACCTTGTGGGGGAAAGTTGTATCCAGTGCAAACCACCATAAAGGTAAGCTCTTTTCTTTCGACTATTGTGTTCCGTCTTCACTAGGGGATTAATTTTACTAGATATGGGTCCCCGTAATTATTTTTAGTAAAAATGTGGAGATAGTTATCCTAACTATGGCTTTGATAGGGGAAGCCTGACTATTTGAATGTTTCCAGGATAACTGCCCTTTCTGCAAATAGTGTTCAAAAGAATATGGAATGGTGACTCCGACTTTCCCGTCATTGACATTTTAAAGAGAGTGATGTTAGGATGTCGAGTTGACACGTGATAAAGATGAGTTTCAGACGGCAGTCATCCTCGTAAAGAAAGCATCTTCAGTGATATGTTTTCTAACCATAGGTATATATGGAAAATGTGCTTCAGTGGTTTTTGTAAATCATACTTCTTTGTGCCAGGGTTCCTTTGTAACCACCATTTGGACTCTGCATCTAGTCTGTTAGTTAGCAGGCTTAATTCTGCCATAGAACAGGGTGAGAGTATTTGTTTTATACATATTTTAAGCTTGACAGCTCAAAATTATGTCCAGTCTGTTCTCTTTTCTGCGCATGAGACTCAGTATAATGAGCAGCTACCTCTTTCCAAATGAATTAAAATGGGGCTATTTCTGAACTGTCCCTACCATAATCAGGTATTTATAACCCGAGAAGCCAATTTAGATTTTTCTGTGAAATATGATTTTACAGTTCAATTCTCAGTCCCCTGTAAATTCTAGAGGCTAGCAACGTACTTTTCTATTTTGTGTTGGGGTGAAAGGGGAGTTCAGACCTCCTTGAAATCTGTAACCCTTAAATTAGTCACACATGTGCATTTAATTAGCATTACATGGAACATTAGCAGCAGGGAGAGGAAAGATGTGGCGTCAAGGAGTGACGCCCATCATGTAAAATCTTTCCCCCCGGTGTTCAAACCGAAGAGTCATCTTTCAAAATATGGACTTTATCAAGAGGTCCTTCATATTTCCTAATCCTGTTTTTGTTCCACTGTGTGTTTATTATATATATTTTAGAGTTTTCTTCTTTTCTTTAATACTGCACACTGATCCACATGTCAGGCTTTAAATTCTCTATAGTAATTGGTATTAATAAAAGATGTTGAGCAGGGTGTTATTCCCTGTGCCTCCAAACTGGCAACAGTGAACCAAACTTAAGGGCAAAATAGTGTTAAATACTTATCTTTTAAAGAGAGTTGAAAACCACTGGGGCCAGGCCCCCTGCCTTGGTCTTACCAAGAGAAGGCATGGCATTGGTACTGTCAGGAGGGATGGCCACTTTAGTGCCCCTTCCCAGATTATAAAGAATAGTTGAGAGAAGATGGGGAGATGCACAGGAACTGGGGGTGTCAGCCTGGTGAAGCAAGGGTTTGTGAGAAAGCTGCTTTTCATCTCCAAAGCTTAGATGAGGCCTCTAAGAGAATCACGCATAGAGACTGCCCCGCGGTGACTATTACATACAACTTTTAAAGCTGCTTTTGAGAATTGTTAAGTTGTGTTATGGCCTATGCTAACTCTAACAACTTTTTTACTTTATGACAAGAAAATACGTCTTGAACATAAGAGCTTACCCATCTCAAAACACCTATGTAAAGTGCCAGACCCGTACATGGTAGAAGGGGGAATTGTGTGCTGTTTTGGTGTTTCATTCCCACCCTGCCACTGATATTTTGGATGAAGGTTTTAGGAAAGATTTCTCTATACCTCCCCCTTTTTCTCCTTCCCCTCTTCTTTTCTTTCTTTCCTTCATATTTTCCATACAAAATGTCCCTTTTGTTTAAACTATTTTACACTTCAAATACTAAGTGTAATGTATATGTGCACCAGTGTGCTCACCACCCAATTGAGAAATGTAACATTTCTAATACTCTTGTAACTGACTATATCTGCCACTCTGATTTCATTCCTTTGCCTCCTTACCCAAGATAACCACTATTCCAAATTTTGTGATTATAATTCCTTTGCTTTTGTTTATAATTTCACCATGTACATATATATTTCCAAATGGCATATGGCTTAATTTTGGTTGTGACTGAATTTACGTAATAGTATTATACTGTATTTTTTCTGTAATTTTCTATTTTGTCCAACAATATATTTGTGGCATTTATTATAGTTGATGGCATGTAGTTGTAGTTTATTTATTTATTTACTTATTTTTACTGTTGCTTCATATTTTATGGTATGAAGCCATCACAATTTGCATATTTAATCACTGGTATGCAAACATTTGGTGTTATATTTTCTTGCCATTATGACCTATGTTTCTATGAACAATCTTGTCCTTCCTCTTGGTGCACGTGTGTGAGGGTCTTTCAGGAGCATGTTCTGAGGAGCACAGTGGCTGGATCACGGCGCGTGCAGACCTTCAGTCTCACCAGATTAGGTCACGTGGGTTTCCAAGTGGTAGTATAGTACTTACAATGTTGTCCAAAGTGTTTTCTTGCTATCTTTGTCATCTGCTGTGTCTTTTTTTCCTGATTAATCTCCCCAGAGTTGGTTAATTTTATTAGTTTTCTAAGGACCAACTTTTGCACTTACTGATCCTCTCACTTGAATCTTCTTGTAATTTCATTACTTTCTGCTCTTACCATTATGATACCATTAACTTTATTTTATTTCTATAACAGGCACTTCAGTTATACCTAGGGATATACGCCAGGCACTTCTGTGGAAATGAAACTTCTCTGGATTTTTCAGAGCTTCGTGGAATGGCCTCCTGAGACTTTACACAGGCTGTGTGGATTAGATCTATAGTCATTTGTGTAATTAATTGTTTTGACTCAAAAGGATAATAAAACTCATATCTTTCCCTTGGGGCTAACTGGCTGCAGCTTGGATTAGGTCCCTAGGTCAAGTTCTCAAGGTGCCAGAAAGGTTGGGGCACTGACTACCCACGTATGAAGCCCGGACCTTGGAGACACTTGCGGTTCATGTGGCCCTTGGAAAGATGTATTTACATTCCAAAAGGTTAAGTGAGAACCTACCCTTTGGCAGGAGAATGACTATATCTCTCCTTCATATAAGTAGGAAAATCCACTGTTCTCTGTCACTGTCCTGTAGTGTCCAGCTACTTGTGTAGGACATGTGACCGAGCTTTCATCATAGGTGAGGCTAAGGGCAAGGGAGGCCATTCACTTATTTCTTTATTGTGAAATAATTAATAAGAAATTTGTCTCTGATCCAGACCATCTTGTGTGAGCATTTGAGATAAAAGTAATAAAGAGAAACAATAAAGCCCAACAGCTTTATTCTAAGTTTTACAGATATCAATTCACCTAATCCTCATTACAACCTGTAAGGTAGTTTCTATTATTAACCTTTATCGGACGAAAGGGAACTTTAGTTCCTGGCAAAATGTAATTTAAATTGTAAATGTAATTTTTATGTTTTTTAACATCAGTAACATATATTAAAAGATAACTTTAATAATAAACAATACATTTTCTTTATAAATGTTTTTACTTTTCATAAATAACTCAAAAAATAGATAAGATAGAGGCAAAAAAGTAAATGCCTGCAGAGCTGAATTTAAATGCCCAAAAAAGCTCCAGCTGGGAGACCCCACTACTGGAATTTAAATGCCGTCTTTTAAAGGTTAATCCTGTGTCACAGATCACAAATGTTGGCAAAGAAAGATTAAATAATTTTTCCCATGTTGCCTAACTATTGGAGGCAAGATTCAAATCTAGGCAATGGTGCTCCATAAAACATGATATATATCTAGTTGTGAATTTTTATTTATTTATGCTATTTCAGATTTAGTTGAATTCCTAAATCTACAGTTTGTTGTCTTTCATGAACTTTGAAAAAAATTCAGGCATTGTTGGATGGGAGAGGCATTCGTCTTCCCCCGGTTGCTAGTGGGAGTGGAATTCGGGGGACCCCCACAGGAGGATGAGGTATAGTAGAAAGCTTTCTTTCCCTGGAATTATACCCCAGGATTTCCAAAGTCCCATTTCCCTTAGTCCAGTCATAGAAGAAGTGTAGGTGGGGCTTTAGCAGAGGTAAAAGCAGAGCCAGTGTCCAGAGTTTCTTTTCTATGTTGGAGCCAGGTCCAGTCCAGCATCAGGTTAGCCTAGCTTGTGTTTCCCTGCTGCATTCCATCAGTTTGTTGCCTGTCAGGTCCACATGGCCATGGGCCATGTGGGCAAATACAAGGAAGCAAGAGCAAAAGAGCCCCACAAGCCAATAGTCAAGCACAACAAGAGCAACCAGAGAGAGCTAATTCCTTTGTTTAGGGAGTTATATTTCCAAATCTTGTGTGCTTGTAGTGGCCATGCCCATTCTGGCCAGTGATCTCTGTTCCCAGGTGTGATTGACAGTAAGTACCTTCCCTACTCCCCCAAACTTTCGGGGCATGCATCTTTCTTCCCGATGTGGTTCCCTGGGGAGTGCAAAATTGCAGATTCCTGGTGAAGCAGCCCAAATGACATCCCTGTAATGTCTGGCTTCCTCCTTTGCTCCTTTTCTATTATTAATAACTAGCTAATTACAGTGGTATTAATTCTCCCCTTAGAAAGAACGAACCTCTTTGTAGTCTTACAAAGGATACATAGCCGGTCTCCATTTTCTTGTAGTTGCTTTGCCCTGGAAAGGGGCATAGATCTGTCTATCCCAAGGCTCAGAGGTTCTCCTCTATTTGACAGAGGAAGGAGGAGCAGAAAAGGGAAGGGGAGTCTTCATGCAGGGAAGAGGGGTTTTGCAAAGTCCAGGTTATTCTGGTGTCCCTGGGAGGTGACGCAGGCGATGTCCAGAGGACGATGCATTGGCAGGTCCATCTCCTATCCTGTAACGTTATCTCTTGAAATATTGCTTCTATACCATTGTCTTTACTAAACTAGGACTCTGGTTAAGTGTATGTCAGCTTTCTCTCTCAGTTCTCCATGTATTTCAACCTTTATATTTTCCACCTTCACGTCTCTCCGTGCTTTTCTCTGGGATATTTATTCAAATCTTCTTTCTACCACACTAATTCTGTGTCTCTTGGGATTAATCTGCTTTTTAATCC